AACTCACAGAAACCCACAGAACAGTACAACATGAAGAATGAACCTTAATGTAAACTATGGACATAGTTAATAACAAGTCAGTATTGGTTGACTAATTAATTGGTTCATTAATATATCACACTAATGCAAGCTATTAATAATGGAGGAAATTGTATATGAGAGGGTGGGTAGACTTCTGCTCAATTATTCTATAAATCTAAAACTGCACTAAACATTCTAGTAAATATTAAAAAATAATTGAACTACTGAAAAGTGCTTATTTTAATGGAGGTAGTGAGAATTGTCTGAGACCGCCCAGCAAAGGCAATTCAGCAAATATTTGTTTTAGATCACAGACATATGCAAAACAAATTTCTTTTTTTTGCAAACCAACTTTCTATCTTCAAAGTGAGTACAATGATTGTACAGCCACACACAGGTCTACATAACCTCCACACAGGGCAGACTGAGAGGGATGCTTAAATAAACCTGGAGGAAGAAATACATTGGTTTCAACCAGAGGAAACTGGCGAGATTTGGCGGATGAGGTGGCTTTTGAGCCAGGTCTTAGGAAGAGAGCAGGGTAGTTAATGGAGTTAAATGAAAAATAAATAGTAGCAGAATTCTTTTAGGATCATCAAATAATTACGCTTTTATCTGTAGTCACATATGTCAGGTTGAGTCATATAAATTTGCCACCTTTTTGTGCAAGGAGATAGGCAACACTGCCAGTTCCATGTGAGTCGACCCAGTTTTACTGGTCAGTGTGCTCCAAGATGTGGTTCCTATACTATGTTCTTTTCAAGAATATTTGAAAAGTTTCATCCTAGATACACCAGCCCAGGCTGGATGCATGAGACAAGTGCTCAGGGCTGGTGCACTGGGAAGACCCAGAGGGATGGGGTGGGGAGGGAGGTGGGAGGGGGGATCGGGATGGGGAATACATGTAAATCCATGGCTGATTCATGTCAATGTATGGCAAAAACCACTACAATATTGCAAAGTAATTAGCCTCCAACTAATAAAAATAAATGAAAAAAAAAGAATATTTGAAAAGGCCAATTAAAAGGGATGTATTAGAGAAATATAAAAACAAAGCCACTAAATTATATATTTGAAGATAGAATTTTCCTGTCAGTCCAGTGGTTAAGACTCTGAACTTCCCATGCAGGGGATACAGGATCGACCCCTAGTTGGGGAACAAAGATCCCACATGTTGTATGACACAGCCAAAAATAAAATAAGTAAAAATAAAAAATACACATATATATTTGAAGGTAAGGGATTCAAATTTTGAAGAAACAACATCAATTAAACACACACACACACATACAGACACTGACACACACCCAAAAAACCCCAAGCAACTGAAAGTACACGATGGGGTGGAAAGAACATGATATTAGTTTCTCACTCTTTCCATTGATAGAAACGTTGAAGAACATTCCTTAAAGTCTCAGAACTTTTTCAGAGAATTCAAAATAAGAAAAACAAGTTTCTTTCTGCATAGTGGTAAATATTAAATCCCTTAAAGTGTTTTTTAAAAAAAGACAAGGCAGGACTACAGAGGAAAAGATGAAGACAAAGTCTAAAATACAGTGATCAAAATCCAATTCAATGCCTTTGTTCTTGAAAAGAGAAAACTTTGAAATAAATGTGGCATCTCATCTTGTCTCTCATGAGATACTTGAGTGGATTATTGTCTTACATGAGGATGATGTCCACATAAGATCAGAATGTTGGCATCATAGTAACATTCTTCTTACTAATGTAATAAATGCTTGATTTAATTGGCACATAATGTCCTACAATTTGCTTGGATAGTCAAAAACTGAACAGTAGTATAACTTAGCTCAGTTGGTAAAGAATCTGCCTGCAATGCAGGAGAGCTGGGTTTGATTCCTGGGTGGGGAAGATCCCCTGGGGAAGGAAGTGGCTACCCACTCCAGTGTTCTTGCCTGGAGAATCCCATGGACAGAGGAGCCTGGCGGGCTACAGTCCGTGGGGTCGCAAGAGTTGGACATGACTTAGCGACCAAAGAAAGAGAGAGAGAGAGTATAATTTATCCCTCTTTCATATTTACAAACACTTCCATTTTTTTAGATGGCTCAGTGGGTAAAGAATTTGCCTGCAATGTAGGAGACTAGAGGGCTTGATCTTTGGGTCGGGAAGATCCTCTGGAGGAAGAAATGGCAACCCATTCCAGTATTCTTGCTTGAGAAATCCTGTGAACAGAGGAGTCTGGTGGGCTACAGTCCATAGGGTCACAAAGATTCAGGCACATCTGAGCAGCTAAACACACACACACAATCTGTTTTTCAAACACACCTTTAGCCATAGATATAGCAAATAATTACATAAACCAAGTTTAGACCATAGATGAGACATTTACACCAGTTTTGTGTGTGTTGGTGTGGGGGAGAAGAGGATGAAATGGATGAAGAACAATTACTACCAGTAGCCCCAAAGACTTTCTTTGCCATCACAGGATTGATGTAGGGGAAAATTTGCATGAATGGGCAGTCTAGCATGTCATGAGGGATCTTTCACTTAAGGGAGGACACTTGGCCATCAGGGATTATTAATCCTATAAGAGCTAAGATTTTAGGAACTCATTTTTTGGATTAACTGCAAGAGCTTTGATTTTGTTTTTAACACAGACAATGCTACAAAAGAAAAATATATTGTGAGTTTCTGCATTGAGATTACAGAATCATGTCTGTTCTAGCAAACTTGCAATTCAGCCTGCATTGTTTCTGAATTGAATCTTAAAAAAAATTATAGAATTGAAAAGACCACCTTAATTTTTATTTCATTTCTAGACATGAGAACAAGTTCGGAGGTTTTTGGAGAAAGAAATCTTTGGGTGTATTTCATCTTTACATAGGCAGCCTGTTTCAAAAAGGGAGACACTTAGAATGTAAAGGAATGTATTCTCATTTGCATGTAGCACCAGGAATTATTTTAGAGGTAAATGATAATTTCAGATGTTACTCCAGAAGCTCTCCCTTATGATTTCATCCTATTACAAAGGTCACAAAGCCCCTACATCAAGGTAGGCAAAGGTTTAGCTACCCAACAAATGTAGAATTATTAGTGCCCATTCCCTCGAAGACTGAAGTGCATTTCTGCTGATACCGCACACTTTCCCTAAAGAGATTACTAGCATAATCCTAAATATTATAGGACCCAGGCTATCTTATTTTTGAGCTCATCAGATCCAGCATGCTGCACGTAATCCCTAACAGCTTTATTCAGTGTTTACGGAAGCTGGTGAAGGAGTTCTATGAACAACGATGACCAAGTACTAAGAACACATATGGTGATTTTCACATTCCATTTTCTCAAGTTTCTTTTGAACTGTTTTTCTACAAGCAGCAGATTCACAATCATTTCTTGATAGCTTCTAACAGCATTTCCATGGAGAGGTTTATTGTTGTTCCATTTGTTTGCTGTATTTCTTATACATTAATGTCTACCAAAGGCATTTTGATGCTACCAGGCGGTCTAAATTGGTAGGAAAAAGTGGAGGTTTTCTTTAGAGGCTTGAATTATTTAAGGCAGAAGTATTTATTCTGGGGGGAAATAATAGAGGAAAAAGACTGGTGAAAACCAGTTGCTAAGCACAGCACCAAAATTTTCTACTGTAGTAACTGGAAAAAAAACCAAAACACCCTGCAGATTTAATCTGGAATATTCCTTTTAATTCCACTAAATTTTAAGACAAAATTAAAATATCTGGTTCTCTTTGCAAAATGTAAGGCACATTTTTTTTCATATAGTTCATTTAAAAAAATGAAGTGTGTGTGTGTGTGTGTATGTGTGTGTGTGTGTGTGAGTGCCCATACACATATAAGCTCCAAAAATTAAATTCTGTGTTCGATGTAATTTTACAATAGAGGACAAATTCATGTTGTTTTAAAACACCAAATCAAGGGAGAAAGGGACATTTATGTTTACCTGTTAGCTTCTGCTAATTGTAATTCAGACCCAAAGAGGATTAAGTACATTGATGTTAATACGTCCAGTGTTATTAATTTCTAAACAACAATAGCAACAATATCCTGAGTAAATCTGTCAGTAGGAAGGATAAATATTTGTCTAAAGACTCCAATGATGTCAGAACTACAATCTGCTTGTAATGGCTTATGTCATGAATAAAGTCCTTAAATATATATTTTGACATCAGTGAATAATTGCCTTAAAACAATATCTATTCTTTTCTAAAAATACAGGCACTAGGAAGCTTTAGTATTTAAAAAAAATGTACTTCTGAGTTAATATAATATTTTAGGAGTTTTAATTTGCTTAGTAACATTTTTGAACAGTTGTTAGGTTATATTATTTGAAACAAATGATTATATCAATTTACATCTTAATATTTCCAACTATAGTTCTAGTACTAGCAAAAAAAAATGGCAATAAATCATGCGTCATATTGCCCTGAAATATTTTTAAAATAAATGCACATAATCTATGTTATGAGATGATATGTGCTTAGGGAACTATGTACTAACATATGAAAAATTTAGAAGAAAAACTCAAACATAATCCACCTGTCTGCTAATAATCATTCAACCTAATAGAATTGTTTTGAAAACAGATTTCTTACATTTGAGAAAGTGCCTGCTATAATATATTGATAAACTGATTTTTTTTTAAAATTAGAAAAGTAAAATGAACTTAACAACAGGAATGGCAAAGGGACAAAATTGTGACATGGATATTCACACTGTTAACCTCATGTTAGTGTAATGGGCCACATGAATTCAATCTTAAAACTCATGCATTTGGTTATTTGCTCTAGGATATGATAATATTTATATACAAAGATGTTCTCCGGTGTAAAATAAAGCTTAAGTCACTTGTTTATCATAGGCATGCTCAAGTCAAAATATTTTACTGTTCCCACACTTAGCCATCACTTTATTTTGCTGAGAGCTTATACATGCTTACTGTCTTGGCTGAAGGATAGTTCGTACGGCTAAGCATCAGAAGAAAGAAGAAAATGCAAAACTCACCAGTGGCGTCAGCTTTGGTTTTGAGCTCGTTCTCACACATTTTGACGTCGCAATTAAAAGTCTAACAGGAAAATATTGCACTTTTCACTAGAGGTCTAACGCCTGTCCCTATGTTACCCCACAACAAGAATCCCAACAGACTGCATTAATGAGATTAAATGAAAGAGGAGTTAGAGGCATCAACTGTTCCGTTTCATTAAGAGAGGGTGACGGGCTGCCCAGGCAAGGAAGGCAGGAGGGGGAACACTGGTTTTTCTTTTTTGAGACAAAAGAACTCAGCACTTGCTAGATCACAATCAAGCAGTTTAAGAACATCATTTTCTCCCACCAGAAGTGTATAGCTGCCTGCAATTTCTGCATTTCAAAATTCTCCTTTGCTTTCATCCCTTTGGAAACAGATCCAATAGGCAGCTGCCACGTAACAGAAGTTATTTCTGATTTTCAAAGTATAATGTAAGTTTCCATCAGATTAATTGGCTCCCATTATTTTGGATCCTCTATTGAGTGAAGTCCAGGGAGGGAGGACTGCATAAAGGTAGTCAATATTCTTGTTTTCCCAAATATCGGATTGTAATTGTCTATGCCATGAGTATTTCACAGGCAGAGAAAAATGCACACCATACAAGAGGTGCTAACAAAGCCTGGAACCAGTTGGGGACTTGGTTCATCAAGCATGTCTCAGTACTCCCACTTGTAAAAAAGAACAATAAAGACACAGAATTTCTGATCCTCAAGCCTTGTCATGAGGAAGGGTAGATATATGAGAAAGTAAAAATTGCTCTGACTCGCATAGAAAAGAGCATGATCTTTATTTGAGAGCAATAAGTTCACATGAATGCCAGCTTTATTTAACTTTTGCTTAGGAGTTACTAAATTGTTTCCATGATGAGTCTCAGACCTTTCCCTTCACCCCTCACTTCCCCCTACCACCTTCAACAGTTCTCATTTTCTTCTCCCTAATCACTTGTCACAAATGGTCTCTTGATCTCCTTGCTTTCTGTTCCTTTCGTCATTGAAATATTTCTGCTTTGTTTCCTGGCCCACAGTGTATGGGAAGAGAGGCAAGGGGTGGAGAAGTGCTTAGAGGAGGCTGGGTAAACCCAGTAAAGATTATTGTCAGCACAGCAGAGCTGAGCCCAGTGGTTCCGCTTTGGATGCCCGCTGGAATAATCTGAAGAGTGAAAAGGTACTGATACCCTGGGATTTCTTTCTTATTTACCATTGATAAACAAATCGATTCATTGAGGTGGGGCCAAGGCTTCTGGAGTTTTAAACACTTCCACAGTGATTCTAATGGGCAGCCGGGACTAGAGGCCCCTGAAATGTCTCTCAGAATTAAAAGAGCCATATGTTAACTGTATAGATTCCTGACCTTCACCAAATACCGAGTCAGAGTCTTCTGAGGAAGAGCCTGGAAGCTAGAATAACAAGCCCCTGGGATCGGGCTTCCCTGGTGGTTCAGCGGTAAAGAATCTGCTAGCAACGCAGGAGATGTGAGTTCAATCTGTGGGGCAGGAACATGCCCTGGAGAAGGAAGTGACAACCCACTCCCGTACTCTTGCCTGGAAAATTTCATGGTGGGCTACAGTCCATGGGGTCACAAAGAGTCAGACACAGCTTAGTGATTGAATAACAACAACAATTTACTATAATTAGATAAATTGGGGAAAAATTTGAGTAAAGAATCTTGGATTTTGAATCAGAATATCTGGTCTAAACTTTTAGTAAGTTACTAAAACATTTTTGAATCAGAATATCTGGTCTTAAATTTTTGGGTAAGTTAATAACTTTTTCCGTATATCAGGTTACATATCTCCAACATAGGATCAGAACACCTGCCCATTTGAATTATATGAGAAAGAAATGTGAAAGGCCTTAGCACAGTGTCTGGTACATATTGGACATTGAGTAACTATACTTGAAAATGAATCGGCTTGCCTTTGCTTATCTCCAAGACATGCATTTTGACTATTGACTCTAGTTATTATTTGTTCAGTCAATACATATTAATTCATTATTAATATTATTTGTACAAGGCTCTGGAAAATAAATATGATGGAGTTCACACTCTCATGTGTATTTAAAACCTATGCATTTAGGGACTTCTCTGGCAGTCCAGTGATTAAGACTCCACTCTTTCAATGCAGGGGGCACAAGTTCAATGCTTTGTAGGGAGCTAAGATCCTGCATGCCACATAGTGTGGTCAGAAATCAAGCAAACAAAATAACCTATCGACTTAATCTTATTTAAATTCTTCCATTGTAGTTGTCATTTTCTATATAGTAATAGAAATAATATTTTAGAAGACTTGTTGGTAATAAGGATAGGTAAGAAAGCTATTTAAAACCACTTTTTAAGTCAGGAAGCAAACAGATTTGGGGGATACCAAATGTTTTGTGTGTTACCATTTCAATGCAGAGGCTGAATTCTCTGTGAACTACTAAAAGGTTAGTCAATACTACCTTGTGTAGAACAAAAAATATAGGCACCATTCATAGGATGCTGGGAGCCAAATCTTGGGTTAGAAGCTGATACTCCTCATGCCTCCTGAGCCTTGAAAATAAACCCAGCTCCTGCTCTGGTAAGCCAGGAAATTGGTACCAAAGAATATCAAAACAGACTCAATGGCACCTTGACGCACAGAGCATGCATGTTCCCCACAAACAAAGGGCAGGATTAGAGATAAAAACACATGCATAAAGAGTAAATTCAGTCTGAATAAGGGGCAAATGATCAGAAAAGAAAGAACGAAATGGCTGGGATTTCTCTAGAGTTGTAGCATTATCACACCACTTTCCTGATCAAAAACTTTCCAGCCCTCCACAAGACAAACCCAATCTCCTGTCTGGTCTGGATTTTCACAGCTTGGGGCAGCCCTGTCTTCAGGTACTTACTCTGTGATCACGGCCAGAGTCATCCATCTAACCTCAATGTCTGCCCCAAATTCGTCACTTTTCTGCCTTTTCCATGACACTTCTCTTTCTTCTTCAATCCTGTTGAGGGCCTCTCTCTACTGTGCTCTAGCTATGCACATGTGACCTCTTCTTGAAGACCCAGCTCAACTCCCATCATCTCTGCAAAGCATCCCCTGACCGCCCCATCCACTGTGATTACCCTGGGCTCCTATGTCTCTGCCACTTATTTGGTCCTGGTGTTCTATGTTAATCCTGTTTATATGCTTACCTTTCACCTTGACTGTAAGCTTCTTAGGGATAAAACCCTCTTTTTGTGTGTCCCTCGACATCTAGCGTAGAGATGCAATCAAACATACAGAGTCCATCAGTGGGCGAGTGTGTTCCTGCTGACTGCCTGTAGCACTAGGGGGCCATGTCTCACTGCCTACTCCCACCATTTCCTGTAACCTGTGTTTCACTTTGAGCTCTCATCTTTGGGGCTTATTGGTTTATTTACTTGCGGCTACTCAGTGGAGGTGAGAGAAGATTAAGGAAAAAAAATCTCTTCTTTTTTTTGCTTTTTATTGAATTATAATTGGTTTTAGGAACAAGGAAGTTGCACCAAAAAACTTCTCTTGATTTCCTGTTTTCCTCTAATCTACTACCTTCCCCCTCATCCTCTTTGTCAGGCATTTAATTGCCACTTTGGAGATGTCCTTTGCATTAGGTCTTTGCTTTGTCCTATTTGGATTTCTTTTTCTCCGGTTAGAAGTAATAACATTGGAGTCAAGAAGGACTTGATCTCTTCCCCTCTCCCACTTCGTGGCTCTCCCTTGACCCCGCTGCACCATTGGTTCCGTTCAGTTCAGTGGCTCAGTCGTGTCCAACTCTTTGTGACCCCACTAACCACAGCACGCCAGGCCTCCCTGTCCATCACCAACTCCTGGAGTCCACCCAAACCCATGTCCATTGAGTTGGTGATGCCATCCAGCCATCTCATCCTCTGTCATCCCCTTCTCCTCCTGCCCTCAATCTTTCCCAGCATCAGGGTCTTTCCCAATGAGTCAGCTCTTTGCATCAGGTGGCCAAAGTACTGAAGTTTCAGCTTCAACATCAGTCCTTCCAATGGACACCCAGGACTGATTTCCTTTAGGATGGACTGGTTGGATCTCCTTGCAGTCCAAGGGACTCTCAAGAGTCTTCTCCAACACCACAGTTCAAAAGCATCAATTCTTCTGCACTCAGCTTTCTTTATAGTCCAACTCTCACATCCATACATGACTACTGGAAAAACCATAGCCTTGACTAGATGGACCTTTGTTGACAAAGTAATGTCTCTGCTTTTTAATATGCTGTCTAGGTTGGTCATAACTTCCCTTCCAAGGAGTAAGCATCTTTTAATTTCATGGCTGCAGTTACCACCTGCAGTGATTTTGGAGCCCAGGAAAATAAAGTCAGCCACTGTTTCCCATCTATTTGCCATGAAGTGATAGGAGCGGATGCCACGATCTTAGTTTTCTGCATGTTGAACTTTAAGCCAACTTTTTCACTCTCCTCTTTCACTTTCATCAAGAGGCTCTTAGTTCTTCTTCACTTTCTGCCATAAGGATGGTGTCATCTGCATATCTGAGGTTATTGATATTTCTCCCGGCAATCTTGATTCCAGCTTGTGCTTCATCCAGTCCAGTGTTTCTCATGATGTACTCTGCATATAAGTTAAATAACCAGGGTCACAATGTACAGCCTTGATGTACTCCTTTTCCTATTTGAAACCAGTCTGTTGTTCCATGTCCAGTTCTAATTGTTGCTTCCTGACCTGCATGCAGATTTCTCAAGAGGCAGGTCAGGTGGTCTGGTATTCCCATCTCTTTCAGAATTTTACACAGTTTATTGTGATCCACACAGTCAAAGGCTTTGTCATAATTAATAAAGCAGAAATAGGTGTTTTTCTGAAACTCTCTTGCTTTTTCGATGATCCAGCGGATGTTGGCAATTTGACCTCTGGTTCCTTTGCCTTTTCTAAAACCAGCTTGAACATCTGGAAGTTCATGGTTCACGTATTGCTGAAGCCTGGCTTGGAGAATTTGAGCATTACTTTACTAGTGTGTGAGATAAGTGTTATTGTGCAGTAGTTTGAGCATTCTT